TTCTGGACCACGGGACCTCACCCAGGAGTTTCTCCCCCAATAAACACTTGGTTTATACCAGCCCTTTGTCCTGTGCCTCTTTCGGTATCTCCAGACGTTACCAGAACCACATTAAGATACCACCTAACCCCAGTAAGAATGGCCATCATTAATAAAACAAACAACAACAGATGCTGGAGAGGATGCTGAGAAAAAGAACACTTTTACACTGCTAATGGGAATACAAATTAGTGCAACCTCTTTGGAAAATATTGTGGCTAATGGGAATACAAACTAGTGCAACCTCTTTGGAAAACATTTCTAACAGAACTAGAATTGACCTTCCTTCCATGATCCAGCAATCTCCCTACTGGGAATATACCCAGAGGAACTCAATTCATTCTACAAAAAAGATACACATGCATGTTTATTGCAGCACCATTCACAATAGCAAAAACATGGACCCAACCATGCTGTCCATCAAAACTGGACTGGATTAAAAAATGTGGTACATATACTCAATGGAATATTAGGCAGCCATAAGGAAGGACAAACATATGAACTTCACAGCAACTTTGATAGATTTAGAGACCATAATACTCAGTGATCTATCACAGAAACAAAGAACTGAGTACCACATGTTCTCACTTATAAGTGGACCCTGAACATTTACCATAATACCATAAGAAAAGGATTGGCAGTAGTGGGATACTACCAGGATTGGTTGGGGGGTAGTCCACACCAATAAGGGTAACTGATCTCAAACCAGGCAAAGTGGGGACCAAAGGGAGGCCCAAACTTTACCTGTACGATGACCACTCATATAACGAATTCTGAATTGTACCCTACATCTTTAAAATTAAATTAAATTAAAATTTTTTTTAAATTACCTGATCCAAACAATTCAGTAGATCACAAAGGCAAGCCCACTGTAAGGCAGGAGTTGGGTAGAAAGAATGAAAACAGGCAGTAAAAGTATTATGGCATTCCTGAAGGACAGCTTCCAGGAGACTCAAGGGTTGACTAAGATATCCTTGAGGATCATTATCCAACTTCACCATGCAGTGATCAACTCCTTCTGATAAAATTTTCCTTAACAAAGTTCTGGTTTTTCCAATACACTCTGCTAACTTGCTAGTTTCTTCTACAACTGCTTTTCCTGTAGCTTTGAAGAAAAAAAGCAGATTGCTAATTAAGTAAAATACTAAATATGCATGCAAACAATCAATATAATTCAATAATTTCCTATACAGCCCCAAATCACAAGTACTCATATCCTATAAATGAAACAACTTAGAGATTAAATGTAGTTCCAAATTATTTCTTTAATCTAAATGGAAAAAAAAATCTGGTTTTCAGCATTTAAGTCCAAATCAGTTGTTCAAAATATTTCTATTAGACAGAATTTGTTTAAAATAACTTTATTCGAGAATTTAATTTTAGCCTACCATAACTTTCTGTCATCAGAATGACTGATATGTGATCTATTTTATTCTTTGTAAGCAAATACACAAGCATTATAGCAATCTAATTTTCTCTTCTCATTTTAGAAGCAATTTAGGGCAGTTGGGGATCTTAAACTCTTGGTTATCTCTATAAATCTTCTCAAAGTCTCAAATGTTTTCTCTCTAAAGATATGTAAAAAATGAATCATACCTGACACTGGGTAAATTTCACAGGTATAGACACGTAATAACCTCAGACAACATGTTCCCACAAAGCGCAGTCTCTCTAAATCCAGAAGAGTAGCTGTGAACTGGAATCCTTTTAATCCTCTAAGTTCTTCCACTCCTAAAACTAAGGTGGTCCAGCTCCAGTGAAGAATACTCAACAATGACTCAAAACATTCCTAATCCAGAATATGAGAAAACAGACAACAATTAGTTCAAATGACACCTTAGTTGAATCAGATGGAAAAACAATGGCATACAATTTCAAAACATCATCTCAAACTTTTTTTTTTTGAGTTGGGGTCTCACAGCTCACCGCAACCGCAGCCTCAACCCCCTGGGCTTAAGCAATCCTTCTGCCTCAACCTCCCAAGCAGCTGGAACTACAGGCACACAGTACAACACCTAGCTATTTTTAAAAATTTTTTGTAGAAATGAGGTCGTGCTATGAGGACCAGGGTGGCTTTGAACTCCTAAGCTCAAGTAATCCTTTTGCCTCAGCCTCCCAGAGTACTGAGATTACAGGTGGAAGTCGCAAAGGCTGGTCACATTTTCTTAAAACTTTTTACTGAGTTTTGTTAGCTCAAATAATATATACCTTTGCAATTCACTTATTAAATTACCATTAAGAGTATCTTTGTTACAAAAAAGGTAAAGTAGTTTAACATTTACTAGTCTATGTGCTTTATCATATAAATCAGGGAAAAAATGTAAAACACTTATTTAAAAAATACATGTTTACTTGAAAGGACTAAAAAGTTACTGTAGTAAAAAATAAAATAAGTGTTTTAGTATTAGATAGTATTAAATAACTTATTTTGCATCTACATATTAAAATTTATAATACAAACTCTAGTCAATTCTTGATAAACAAATTGACAAGATAAAAATTGACTATAGGCCAGGCACAGTGGCCTGCAATCCCAGCACTTTGGGAGGCCGAGGCAAGAAAATTGCCTGAGTCCACCAGCTCGAGACCACCTTGGGCAACATGGCGAGACTTTGTCTCTATAATAAATAAGAAAAAAGTAGCCAGGCATGGTGGCACGCACCTGTAGTTCCAGCTAATTAGAAGGCTGAGATGGGAGGATCACCTAAGCTCAGTGAGTCGGGGCTGTGGTGGCTGTGAGCATGCCACTGCACTGCAGCCTAGGCAACAGAGTGAGACTCTGACTCAAAAAACAAAACAAAATGAAACAAAACAAAAATTGACTGAAAATACTAAAACATCCTCATTTGATTTTTTTTAAAATTCTAGAATATGAATGTAGGGTGAAGGACTTTTTTTTTACAGTTCTGGCTGGTCTGCAGATTTTATTACACTTACATGATGTCAGATACTACATGAATCTCAAAGCAGAGTACTTATTCCCTCATTCCCACCAAATCCCAAACTTTTCAAAAATGAGGGTTCATAGTTTAACTTTTATGACTAAGTTTCTTACATAAAAACTATAATACCTAAGGGCCACAAGAACCACTTAGACACAAACACAAAAAGCAAAGGTATAACCAAGCACAGAAAAATGAGATCACTGAGGAAGACACAAGAGAATCAAAGATTCTTATCTGGATAAAAGATGCCAAACTCATCTTAATACTAAAAGAATGCAAAGGTACCAAGAAGCTGAAGTTCTTGTGGTCTCTTATTCAAAGCATACTCTCTGTACACTGCTATGGTTCTTTGGGAAGGACAATTTGACAAGACACAGAAAAATTTAAATAGCCACATATCCAGTAGAAATATGCACATTAAGTACAGAAGTAGTCAAAACACAGGTGAGTGGATAACCATGAAGCAAAATGTTACAGTAAAAAACAATCAACAAACTGGTTCTTTGATAGGAATAGGTTGATAAATTAGAATAAAACTATTCTTGGGATGCTATGAAAACAGAAAAGATTGAGAAAAAGCCTAATATATTGACAGGGAAAATGTCCATGGTGCATATTTTGAAATTTTTAAAAGGAAGATGAAAACTTTAAATATCAGCCTGGGGAATGAGACCGTCTCTTCAAAAAAAAGCTATGTGCAGTGGTGTGTACCTGTAGTCCTAGCTACTCAAGAGGCTGAGGTGGGAGGACCTTAACTTAAAGACTAGCCTGGGCAACGTAGTGAGAGCTCATTACTGCAAAAAATAGAAAAATTAGCCAGGTGTGGCGTTGCATGACTATAGTCCCAGCTACTGGGGAGGCTAAGACAGGGAGCTTGAGCCCAGAAGTTTGAGGCTGCACTGGCATATGATAGTACCACTGTACTTCAGCCTGGGCAACAGAGATCCTGTTTCAAAAACAAAAGAAAAAAAAAAATTCTATAACTATTATAACAAACAGGAATGTTGCATACCACATTGTATATATAATACATACTAATAAACTTGTTTGCATATAACAATGGTCTGCAAGGATATATACCAAAATGTAAGTAGTAAGTATATATGGTAATCACAGGGGAATGGAGAAAAATTTTGTAGTTTTATCCCTACTGTACACCATTCTTACCAGGAAAAAGGTATTAACTTTGTGGCTTAAAATAAATAAATAAATAAGAAAAAAAATCATTCTTCCTATGCATTTTACCAGCTTGAAAGACTACCAACAACATAAATCACATTCATATAGTGACAATTAAAAAAGTATTTTCATCTTTTATCTCATTAGAAACTCATAATAATGCTATGATGAAATCCTCAATTTATAAATGAAAGAGCAAGAACTTAACTTAGACTTTCTAAGCAGATATACGATGATCTTTCACGTATATTATGTTGACTTTCCGCTCTGCCCTGGTAACCCCAATAGCAATGTGCTTCTTAAAATGCAAACAGGGATAGCAAGTAGTTCAACAAGTTCCCAGTTAGGTACACAACTTTTCTACTTAGATCCTTGAGTACTAAAGTAATCCTTTTTAGGGCCAGCACCATCACGAACTTTTCCTTCAGTCATTTTCTATGTCCTTTAGCATAGCCACCCATATATGACTTATTAGAAAAGTTATTTCAGAAACAACAAGGCCAATTCATCTGAGCATGTTAAAATCAATTTATCTCCATTTTTCCATTATTTGAAGTACACATTATCTATGTTCCAGGATACAAATGCTAAGATCAAACTAAATCTGAGTTTATAAAAGCTATGCTGGAATAAACTTTGAAAAGCAACTGAATTCTAAATATCAAAGTGAAACTGAGCACTGAAAAGAAAAACTAAAGTATTTTATAATGGCCTACCACTGAGACAGTTCTTGCAAAAGATCTCTTTAAAATGTGCACAGGTTCACTGGTTTGCTGTTTGCCTTTGGAAGCACTGCCATCACTGGTTGGAAGTCTAAAGCAGACGACATGCACAAAGTTATGTTAGAAAGTCCAGTGACATTTTTTCTTTCTAAAATTTCCATTTTGTAAAGCAAAAAAAATTATAGATTTAAATTTTAGCCAGGTAAAATGACAATATGGGGCTGTTTGAAACATTTTTCAATGCTAAACTAAGATTTTAGAATATGAGCATTTCCTTTAAATTTTACCTTCACAAGATTGAGTAGTAGAGACTTTTTCCTCTTATTAGAGAACATATGTAACTTATGTTCTTTAGTAATGCTACTACTAAATGCTACTATTAAAAAGTTATTCAACCAATAGTGCCCAGGAGTAGCCCATGCAACTTGTTATGCTTATAAAGCTACATACTATAAGTAATAGTTAAATAGATTGCATATTGCATAAAAAATGAACAAACAAAAATCACTTCTTAGAAAAAATGAGGTTCATTACATACCAATTCCTTAAGTGATTACCAGAAAAAGACAGGGAGACAGAGAATCACTGTTCTAGAGTATTTCCTTAGAAACTTAGAATGTTTCCTTAAAACAGTTTTTACGGCTGGGATCGGTGGCGCAGTCTGTAATCCCAGCACTTTCGGAGACTGAGGCGAGTGGATTGCCTGAGCCCGCGGGTTCAAGACCAGCCCAGGCAACTTGGCAAGACCTCATCTCTACAATATATCAAAAATGAGCCAGGCATGGTAGTGCACGCCTGCAGTTCCAGCTACTTGGAAGGATCACTGGAGTCCTGCAGGTCAATGCTGGCATGGCCGTGTATGCCACTGCACTCCAGCCTGGGCAACAGAGTGAGACTCTAACTCAAAAAAAAAAAAAAACAGTTTTTACTACATAAAGTTAAGGATGATAATATTTTTTAGTAAGGGTTCATATCCATTTTAATTCCTTATTCTAAAACTATTGCAGTAGTCTAAAAATAAATAGACATACACACAGGTATATTCCTCCATACATGTGTGAGTTACTGTGAATTGAAGTTCTTACATAGTGTTCGAAATACAATAAATATTATCATATGAGTAAGTCATTGTTTGATATTTCAATTAAAAAGTGGAAATTTATTAACAGTAAAAGACATTCCATTCTATCACAAGATCAACATATTACTGCAGCATATCAATCAGATCAAGTCCTTCCCCCATTTCATTTCTCTAACACAAACTGTATTAATTTGTAACATTCTGAAACTGGTAAGAAAATCAATAAACAGATTATAAAAACAAGTTATTAAAATACTGTTACTGGCATAATACAAGTAACCAGAATCATTAGGCAAAGTTTAAAATTAAGTCTGATGTAGAAAATGCTCCAAAACATATAAAACATTAAATGTTTTTGTTAAATAAACTGATATATACTATTATATAAGTTCTACACATTTCAAATTTATATTTCTACTTGTGTATTATAATTTGCTGAATGCTTCAAATGATTCTTCCCTGTTAAGTTGTATATTCTGTAGTGATTTTACCTCACTGTAGCAAAATAATACACCATATGAATTAACCATACATATGCTATATACCTGTATAATAACTGAGGTATCTGACCAGCATTAACATCTGTACCGTTATTTGATTTCTTTGAACTCTTAAACTGGAAAACAACCCTGAAAAGAGGAAAAAATAACAGTAATACTAAAACATGATCTGAGATTCATTAAAGGAAATAAGGAATTTAACAAACATGTTTTCAAACCTTATGTTAATGAAAATGATTCATTTTTTAAAAAATAAATAAAAAGGTACTGCCCTGATTTTTTGTTCTAGCTCTGAACAGCTCAATGAGTAAAATGAAGGAAATGAACCTGATTGGGACTTCTAGGTGAGTAGCTGTCCTGGCCCTCCACCTCAGCTTCAGCCAGTAGTAGACTTCTAACGAATGCTTTCCATTTAACAGGCAGCACATGATCTGCTCAACTAGATGCATGATAAACTTGAGCCTCAAAGTGCCATAACACACCAAGTTTGAATGAACAGTATATGAAAAATCATACAGTCTAAAGTCAAAGCAGTCTCCTCAGTCTAGCATACAATTTTAGAGTAAGTTGAAAGGGATACCATACAATAGATCTAATTTTTCTACAGCAGTTCCCTTGAACATTCAGCAACATGTAATTCACCTCATAAATCAGTCTGTTCCTTTTCTGGTCAGCTCTATTATGAATTGAATCAAATTATATATGCTATTATATAAGTTCTACCCATTTCAAATACTTTATAGTCAAGAGTAATAAAGAATAAACCAAATTTCTCTTACAAATGATAGTCCTTTCAATTATATAAATCAGAGTAATCAAGTATTAAAAAAATGTTAGATTTCAAGCCAATAGATTCCAGATCTGGATTTAGTTCTATTATACAGTAACCATATGACTTTAAGCAACCCATTTTACCTTTTTATTTCTCTAACTCCTTGAGTAGAAAATGGGCTAATAACAAAGTTACTGAGGGCATAAAATCAGATAATACATATGAAAGTGTTTTACAAACTGAAAAGGAATCTATAAATGAAAGTTATTTTTAAACAGTAAATTTTTCCCTACATTTTATTGAAATAATACTATCTTATATGCTGAAGCTTTGCAACTTACTGTTTACAAATGTAGTTTTACACCATCAAACTGAATAGCAAGTATCTACATTTTTATGGCCCCAAACTCCTCACCATCCTTGTTACATTTCTCTACATAATTTCTAATTTGGTAGTAAAGCTGTTAAACAATACCTAGAAATATCTACAAATGCCATCTTATATGAGCAAAGTACAATAGTCTTATTACCTCCCTGTTCTGCATAGACCTTAACTTGCCATGAGATTACATGGCTCTAAATTTTATCAGTTATATTATGCTCTAGTCTTCCTAAGTTTTTTATCCATCAAAGGTCCTCTGAACTTTCACACAATATTTCACTAACAAAAATTAGAGATGCTTATATAATACTGGAACATTTTGCTTACCCATCATCCGTGGTAATAGATGCTTGCCCATGAGATCCACAGTCACTACTAGGTCCTGACACTCGGGCCCATGCTACATACCACCATCCAGCTTGCAGGAGAACTGGCTCATCAAACATCATTGCATATTTTTCTCTGAGAAAAATTAGTGAGTCAAAAACAGTACCTTTGTACTTTCAGTTAATTCTATTGTAAGATTCTTATCAAACAACATTAAAAATCTTCTATTTTTAAAACTTGGAACAAGAACACAAATAAGCATTATTTGTGCTATGGTGGACAGAATTACATTTCTTCCTTCTCTTGAATTTCGTTTTGTTTTGTTTTTTTTGAGTTGGAGGCTCACTCCGTCTGGAGTGTGATGGCATGCTCCTGGCCACTGCAGCCTCGACCTGCTGGACTCCAGTCATCCTTCCACCTCAGCTTTCCAAGTAGCTGGAACTACTGGTATGCGCTACCACAACTCGGCTAATTTTTGATTTATTGTAGAGACGAGGTCTTGCCAAGTCGCCTGGGTGGGTCTCAAACCCGCAGGCTCAGGCAATCTACTCGCCTCGGCCTCCCAAGGTGCTGGGATTACAGGCTGAGCCACCGAGCCCAGCTCTTGAATTCTATAACATGCTTAAATGTTACAAAACTTTCATACTAAAATAAGACAAAATGTTTTAAATTAATATAAACTAAAACATGAAAATAGTACTTGAAAATAAAAATTTAAACCTTAGTTTTAAAGCTCATTTATTCAACTAAAGAGATGTGAGAGGCAGCATGTTAAGAAATAGCTCTGAAGTCAGGCAGGTGGGTTCTAGGCCTGGCTTAGTGATTTGCTAGCTAGGTGACACTGGGCAAGTTACTATATCCTCTCTGTACCTCAGTTTCTTCATCTGAAAATTGGGGTGAAAATAATGCCTGTCTCATAGGGTTGTTCTAAGCACTAGGTTAATTCTGATAAAGTGCTTAGACCTGCCACAGAGTAACTACCCCAAGAAAGTATTAACTTAGGAGGAGAGAAAAAGTATGCATATAAATAAGGGCATCTGCCAAAGGATACAGGCAAGTTACAAATTCTAGGTAAGAGTGAAAGAAGCATATTGGTTGTAGTTGGGATTGAGAGAAGAATAAAGGGCATTTAAGGAAGGACAGAATGTGATAAAAAGATCTGATGTGTAACTACAAGACAGGCCAGAAAATGGCAAGGTGTCCTCTTTTCTTAATGTATTAAGACATGTAGAAAAGTAGAAGGTAGAAAGTCGTGACAGATTACAGAATTCTTTAACTCTCCTAATGCCTTAGGTGTCTGGACTTTGTTAATTAATAGGCAAATTTTTTAAAAACTAGATGATTTGTTAAAAATGAAACTATACTATTTTTTGACTCATAATTTTATGCTCAAAAATAAATGGTAAATGAAAATGGGATCTTAAGGCTTTGTTGAAAATTAATTAACTTATCAAGTCACTTTCCTGAAGCTTTTCATTTAAATAAAACATTAAAAGTTAGTGAAAAATACTTTGTGAAAATAAAGTGATAAAATGGCCAAAATTTTCTTTAGATTTACTCTAACAAAATCTTAAGATATCACATTGTGAAAAGTGATACATTGCTTAATATGTAACTTAATTTTTCAAGCATCTTCTATTCACAGAAATACTTAAAATTTCCTTTTTAAGCCAGGCTCGGTGGCTCAGCCTATAATCCCACACTTTGGGAGGCTGAGGTGAGTAGATTGCCTGAGCCCGCGGGTTCGAGACCCGCCTGGGCAACTTGGTGAGACCTCATCTCTACAATAAATCAAAAAATTAGCCGGGCGTATAGCGCATGCCTGTAGTTCCAGCTACTTGGAAGGCTGAAGCAGAAGGATCGCCAGAGCCCAGCAGGCCGATGCTGCAGTGGCCGGAAGCAGCCACTGCACTCCAGTCTGGGTGACAGAGTGAGACTCCAACTCAAAAAAAAAAAAAATTTCCTTTTTAAGTTATGTTTATTCACTCACAATGAATTTTTAATTTTACATATGCAAGGATTACACTGAATAATGAGCAAATCATTTACCTGGCAGCACAGTCATAAGCCAGAACATCAGTCTCTGCAAGAAGGTCTCCATCTGTTTCATGATCTCCACCATCGGGACCCAACTCAAACAGCTAGGGAAGGAAAAAATCATATTTTTCCCAATTATTTAGTTATATAAATCTGCTGAATACTGTGTTTATAATTTTGTTTTTGTCCTATATATGCTGGACTATATACCAAATGTATATAGCAAAAAAATCAGAGTATCTGCTTTTTTAATGTTTACTACTAAGTGAAATACACAAACATATATATGTAAATTTACAAACAAATACTGTACAATGTCTTATGGTCTATATTAATCTCAGTATTCCTAAATTACATATTTATCTGCTTATATCAAATACTCTAAATAGCTCTATCCAAGAAGTTTTGTACCTTTAAAAACATCTGAAGGCGGTAGGATAATTCAACAGAAGCATTTAATCTAAGAGAGTTTCTAAATAAGGTAGAATCTTACTTCAATACTTATTAGCTATGAAGTCCTGGGAACTAGTTTCCTCATTCATATAAGCAGGGAAGGGGGTTGGATACAAATAGGTCTCACCTCACACTTGTGAAAATTAAGTGAATTGATACTTGTAGAACACTTAGAAAAATACCTAGGAAAAAAGACTAGAAAAATATTAACCAGAGAAAGAGAGGAATAGAAGATAAGGACCCTTAAAAACAATAGATTTTTAAACTCTGAAATTTTCATTTATATGCTAATAACTTGGAAATCTGCCTCCTGTGCAGATTTTATTTTCAACAGTCACTGATTAGGTGACCAGCTCTAAATGGATTAATCTCTCCTTCCTCTTCCCTTCCTTGTTCTGATTACTGGCACTTTCATTTACCTAGTCGCTTAGATAAAAAAATCTAGAATAACCTTTTTTCTGTATTTCTCTTCCATCACTATATTCTACTGCTGGTACCAAAGCTTGTCAATTCAACCATATTCCCTGCTGCTGGCTAGAATACTTCAATAACAACTAATTAATCTTATCTCCATTCTCTCCTTGCTTTAACTAATATTCCACAAAGTTGAGGATTTGTGCTTGCATTTCATGAAAATTTGATCAAAATACTTAATCTAAAATTATTCGCTGGTTTCTCTCCTCTGAAGCATGATGTAAATGTCCTTAATAATTTGCCCCTAACCTGACTCTGCTGCTTATATTTGAACACATACTGGGCATACAAGGGTAAATGATAGAAACCAAAAACTGGGGGCTGCTGGAAGTAAGTTTGTGGTAGGGAGTAGCACAGTTTTTTTTTTTAGTTTTAAATAGGCTCACCAAGGAGTAAAGACCTGAAGGTGATAAGAAAGTGAGCTACACAAGTGTGTGAAGTGAAGTGAATTATAGTTACAAGAAATAGCAACTACAAAAGTCTTGAGATTTCACTGTGCCTGGCATGTCTGCAAAACAATAAGCAGGCAAGTGTGGCCAAATTAGGGTAAAGCAACTATTATAATAAAAGGTCAGAGAGGTGAAGACAATCAGCTTTGATGGGGAATTTTATTCGAATATAGGAATACATTACAGGACTCTGAACAGAGGAATGATAGTCTGTTGTACATTTTAATAGAATCAATGAGAAGGGAATGAATGGGGTGAAAGTTGGGAGGCTCCTGTAATAATCCAAGTGAGAATGGCTATGGCATGGACCAATATGGTACCAGCAGCAGGTTTCAGAAGAGTTTAGATTCTAGATTTATTTCTAAAGTGGAGCCAACAACATTTGCTGCTGAAGTGGATGTAGGATGTTAAAGAAAGAGAGGAATCAAGACCGACCCCAAGATTTTTAGCCTGAGTAACCAGAAGGAGGGGGTTAACTCCATCCTGAGTCTCTTAACTAGGATGGGAAAGAATGTTGAAGAGCAGGTTTAGAGAGATCATCAGAACAAATGTTTTGAGCATGCTTACCTCCAAAATGCCTATTGCACATTCAAGTGAAGACACAGAGTAGAAGTTGTTTATATGGGTTTAAGGGTCAGCGAAGTCTATAAGTTCGTAAGTCATCCAAGAAAAAATATGTAAAGCCATGAGGCTGGGTGTAGGCCACTATGGTGGATAAGTATACTTTTAAAAAAGGTATCCAAAAATGAGTTCTGGGCACTCCAACATCTAGAGGTCAGAAAGAAGATGAGCAACCAACAAGAAACTGGAGCAGTCAGTGGGAAATAAGGAAAATGAGGTAAGGTATCTTGAAAACAAAGTAAAGAAATTATTTTAAAAGAGAGTAAAGTTGGATTAAATTCAGTTTACTGGTTAAGGAAGATAAGAATTAAGATTGACCTCCAAATTTAGCAATATAAAAGTTATCAATGTCCTTGACAAGAGTAATTTCAGTGGTTGGGGCAAAAACATGATTAAAGAAGGTTCAAGAAAGAATGGGAAGAGAGAAGAATATGTACAGAAACAAACTAAATGGCTAGTCTAAGACAAATAGTTTTGACTAGGGCAATGACGGTAGAAAAAAGAGATGAAAAACGTCTATCAAGAAAAATGACTAGTTTTTAGCTTATTTAATAAGCATCACTAGGTGGTACTATTCATGAGAGGTATCACTGGAAGAGGGTTAGGTCTTGGGGGAAGAGCATGAATTCAATTGAACTCTAATGACTGACAACTAATAAGTTTTAAAAACATTTATATGGAAATGCATCAATGAAGTCTGAGGTTAAGATATACAATGTAGGCATCATGATATGCTGATGGCTATTAAAACTTTTGGCTTAAAAGAAAATGCCTATAAGAAAATATGGAGTGAAGAAAGAGAACCTAGGGTTGGATCTAGAGGAACTCCAACATTCAGTGGCCAGCTGGAAGAGAATGAACCAAAGATAGGTCCTTAGTCCATTCACTGAATCACTGAGGTAAGATCATTTCTAGAAGATGGGAGGAGTGAGGTGGGATTTGACGTTGAAAAGAAAATAGGTCCAATATAAAAACGACATATATGGAAAGCTTCTAAACTTCTATATCAAAACTCCCACTATGTTAGTAACTATTATAAAAAACTAAAAACAAAAAATACCTCTCAGAGTCAAGAAAAAACTCCTCCAGTGAACTTGTTAGACATTTTCAGTAATAACTTCATAACATATTGAGCTCGCCTCTCTATCAAGGATGAATCAAGACACCTTAAAATAACCATTTTGAAGCAACTCCACTGAAATGAGCCAAAGACTAAAACAACTGTTTTCCTCATTATCAAAATAAATGTGCTACAGGTATCCTAAATCATGATTCTGTCTCTATAACCCACATAACTATAGAAGCTTTCAATTTTTGCTTTATTCATTCCTGTATTATCTGCATTTTTAAGCATATATATTCCAAATATAACCAGAACAAGGAACTATTTCTTATGTTTGTCAGTTCTGGTTGGACCCTGATGGGGAATTCCCCCAGAAATCTTCATTATAAGGGAGTCATAGTGTATTAATATAACTTTAAGATATTATTGAGAAAACTTAAAACAAAACAAAACAAAAACCTCCTGAAATGACAACATTTAACTGAGAAGCCTGCTATTGAAATTTAAAGTTTTCTCTTTCACTTGAAGCACAAGATCAGGTAAATTGAGAAGTAGAACATTCAAGCTATTAGTGAATTTTCAAAGGATGGGATAATTGCTGGCATCTGTCAGAGATGAATGGGTATAGTAAACGAACAACTCCTGATTACTTTTAGTTTGCCTACCAGATGGAATCTTCCCCCTAATACTCTTTCACTTCATCCCTGGTGCCCACTATAATGTCTGTTTACATAATATTTAGCACTAAAAATGTTAAAAAAAAAATTTTGGCTACAATAAAATGTCCCTAAATAGTTGTGCCTCCTGACATAAAAATGGCTATAAATTAGTAGCCACATAAAAAGGCGCTGGTGTTGCTATACCACTAAGAAGCTCAGTACAAAGGACTGAGATACGGCTTTTTATCAGTCTTAAAAAATTACTTTTCATTTCCTCCCTTTTTACTGAACTTTTGTTTTTTAAAGAGTTACTGGTTTAGTACTACTGTATTAGATTTTTAGCAATGTTTCCTCTACCCCTTTTTATTTTATTTTATTTTATTTTCTTGAGTTGGAGTCTCACTCTGTGACCCAGGCTAGAGTGCAGTGGCACATACACAACCACCCCAGCGTCGACCTGCTGGGCTCCGGTGATCATTCTGACTTAGCCTTCCAAGTAGTTGGAACTACAGGCGCACACGACCATGCCTGACAAATTTTTTTTTTTTTTTTGCTTATTATAGAGACGAGGTCTCACCAAGTTGCCCGGGCGGGTCTTGAACCCATGGGCTGAGGCAATCTACTCACCTTGGCCTCCCAAAGTGCTGGAATTATAGGCTGAGCCACCAAGCCCGGCCTCTAGCACTTTTTAAAAGGAAGCATTTACAGAAACCAAAATATAAATCAAGTTTTTAAAAAATGGAGTGTTAAGTAATAACATAATAAACTAAGTCAAAACCAACAACTTCAAACAAAAAGGGACGACTGTGTCAATGATCCTTACCTTAATTTTAGCAGTATATTCTCCTCTACCTCCAAAAAGACCAAGACCACCAAGTAATATATCGGTGTCGGCGCTAAAACGTATGGCTTCCACCGAATGGGCAGAGTAACCCCAACCCCCTCCATGACCTAAAAGATATAAATAATAATCTATCTTTTAAAATATCCATGTATATTTCAGTTATAAGACAGTATTTCCGAAACCTAAGTATACATACTTTCAAACCTGTTTACTACACTGTAATCTTCTTTGGAATAAACTTTCATAACTGCTTGAGTTTCCTCCTCTGTACTTGCAACACCCATTTTTAAATCCTGCATAGCTGCCAAGGTATCAAGACAACCTAAAACAAACAAACAAAATTAAAATTCTACAGCACTGATGATATTAAAAGCTATGGGGGATAAATTTAAAATAAGTAAATAAACTCTGAATGTACTTAACAAATTTATTCCTAGTTTTAAATGTAATTTCATGGAAGAATATTTACAACCAATAAAATCTCTCCTCAGTGTAGATAATTATCATATTTAAACATACGCTATATGACAATGTTTTGCACAAAACCATATCTCTGAAAAGTTAGAATCACTTAACCTTTGAGTCTTTACAAGGTTCTTCCTTTTATGAAACTCTGAATTATTTTAGTTTGATTCTTTTTTTTTTTTAAAGATGTGGGATACAATTCAGGATTAGGTATACAAGTGGACATCATACAGGTAAAGTTTGGGCCCCTCTTTGGTCCCTACTTTGCCCGGTTTGAGACCAGGTACCCTTATTGATGCTGTGTCCCTACCCCCACCCCGGCAGTATCCCGCTACTGACAATCCCTTTCTTACAGTATTATGGTAAATGTTCAGAGTCCGCTTATGAGTGAGAACATATGGAACTCTGTTCTTTGCTTCTGTGAAACATCCCTGAGTATGATAGACTCTAAATTCATCCAAGTTGTTACGAAGTCCATATGTTTGTCCTTCTTTCTGGCTGCATAATATTCTTAACGTACTAATTGAGGAAGACACATTAGCCCCCATAAGCTTCATCAATGCTAGTTTTGAATGTTTACAATAGGCTACCAAATGAAATTTGAGAAAAATTAAACAAGGGATTATATTTATAACCTAGTAATTATATTCAGGAATATGATTTCACAATTGCAAACTCTAGATAAACATGAATGAGTATTTCAAGGATCATTTTTAAAAGCAACAAAACATGTAGTTTTGTGGATATAAAATTTTCAGCAACAGTTGCAAAAGTGCTAATTCTCAGAGTCATTAAATAGGAGTGATGTTGTGGAAATCTGTGTTAAGTAAGAAGAGACAAAAGAAGAATATAAAGTTTATACAATATGTATAGAATTTGTTATTGACATAAATTTAAGATTATGATGATACATTTTAATATTTGATAAACATCTCTAAAAGCTTTCATTTTCACAAAAGCAAAAACATTTTTAATAATCTATCTATTGGGAAAATTATATTTAGGACTGCTTTATTTTTGGGCATACATAAATCTTTTGTGGTGTTAGAAAAGTTCTCACATATTTTCTGTAGGGAATGTTGCTTTCTTAGAGGATTTAGCACACTCTACACCTTTAATATTAGTATTGTTTAACAAACTTGACAAAATAACATACAAATTTAAATACGCTAAAATAACCCAACCCTCAGCACAGCACACATTAATGCAAATTAACTGAACATAAAATAGCAATTCTACCTAGAATGTGCAAAGCCGCATGAGATCGGGTGGTAAGAGCTGGTGACCCTGTTGGCAGGGCAAGCTCAGGACTTAGAATACTGCATCTGGACTGCATGTCTGCTCCCGAGGGAAGTCTGGCATCAGCAACCACTGCATTGTAACACCAGAGTTCTCTGGTATTTGGTCGAAACCTTTGAAGAAAAAAAATTACAGCACCTCAACATAAAGTTGTTTTAAAATATTCTTAAAAGATAACTACTGATACTAAAGAATAAATAATACAGTCAGCTTAAAGAGGATAAACTTATCTAAGCTAAACTTATTTTTAAAACTTTATCACTATAAGTGAAATAACTTTAACAAAACAGTAATGTAGATTACAATATTTCATAAATAATACAGCTACTAATTGTATATCTAATTTTGATACATATATATAAAAATGAAGCTTTTGTATAATTAAAAATGCGTATAGACAAGGGACTAACTGAAAGAAAACATGTTTAAAGACAAGGGACTAACTGAAAGAAAACATGTGAAATGTACATATGAGACAAAACTAAAATATCCGCAATGTCTAAGAACTAAAGACAATCAATACAATAGCAAAAATGGGCAAAGGAGATGGAATGCTATTTTCAGAGAGGAAGTACAAATAGAATGGATGCAGATATTCGACCTTACTAATAAACAGTAAGGCACCAATAAAAACCATAAGAAACCCACAACGTCCTCTTGTCTTTATCCCACTTTTCTAACCTCTTTCATAACAAAATCTAAAAAAGCTGTCTCTACTTCCTGACCTCTTTTAGGGGTTGAGAAGGAGGGAATAGGGAGCTTTGTTTAGTGAATGTAGAGTTTTAGTCTTCTAAGACAAGAAAGTCTTGAAGCTCTATTGCACAATAACATAAATATACTTAATACTACTGACTATACACTTTTAAAATGATTAAGATGGTAAATTTTATGGGTTTTTTTAAAACCACAATTTAAAAAAAATTCTAAGCACTTAAGATAGTACTTGGTAAAAAATAAATTATATGGTAGTCGCTTCTTTTGTTATTGTCTCTTAATCTTTAGTGTTCTACAGATTCACTACAGCATCTACTGATGGTTGACAATGGAAACATATAGTTTCTAGTGTCATGGAATCAAATCTTTTTTGGTTGTGAAAAATTCTTCATCATTATCTTTTCAAATATTCTATCTCCTCTATTATTTCTAATCTCTCTCGTTCTGGAATTCTAATCTCTAATATTTTCCTTATTGACTATCAATTTGAGTTTCCCATTATAATCCTCAATCTCTTAACTTTCATATTTTCATATTCTTGTTTCTCTGTGTTATTCTGGGTACTGTCGCTAGAAGTATCTTCTGGTTATTCTCTCACCTATTCAGATCTCCTGATTTATTCATCCATTTGTTTAAAAAATGACTTTTCCTTTACAAAAAGCTGTCCCATTGTTTTTCAAGTACACCTCATAATTTTATCTCATTTTGGGTCACTTCTTTGCTCATTTTCGTGATTTCTAATTTTTCTTCTCAAACAGCTTGTACATAATTTATACTGCTTCTGACCACCCCAAATTCTAAAATTATCTTGCTGCTTATTCTGTTGAGTTTCATTAATAGTGATATTCCTTTCATGTTAAGTAATCCACAGAATTTAAGCTTTTGTTTAATGAATCTTACGTCTTTAAAAATCTGTGAGCCTAAATAAAGGGACTTTTCTCTAAAGATGATTTTCATTTGTCTTCTGCTGGAGACAAAGTTCCCACTTCAGCACCATTCAGAGCCAGAAGCTTAATCTGAGAGTTGCAGAAATAGTTTATAATTCCCTCACCTTAGAGCAGGCATAATGCTTGTGCTCCAGATTGCAAGGCTGATATCAGTATTTACCCTCAGTGCAATCATGTGTTTCACATATGCTGACTGTTTACTACTCAAAGGTCACCTCATGGAGATGTTGCTTCTATTTTTATGTTGGTTTAGGGGACAGGGACAGTACATTAGTGAGTTCTTGGGTAAGTGACAAGCAATGTATAAAATACAAAGTTTAAGTATAAGGTTCTTTGAAGTATCTATGTCTTCTGCTCACTTTGGCACCACATATACTAAAATTGGAACAATGTAGAGATTAGCATGGCTCCTTCACAAGGATGACATGCAAATTCATAAAGCATTCTTTTAAAAAAATTTTTTAAACAAAGTATCTAGTTCACCAAACAGCCAGAATTGGAAATCCCCACTCAGTCTTCAAGCCATATAAATCTAGTTTGTACATATAATGCTTCAGTAAAATTATTCTTCCCAAAGGTACTCCTAAGTAGTTGTAAAATCCAATGGAAGTTTTTATCATCACCTTGTCAACCCCTCAGCAGTGTCTAACACAACTGAACAACTCCTCTTCTTGGCTCACTCCCCTTTCCTACTTCCACATCAGCAACTCCTACTGGATTCCTCTTGAAGTTCATTGGCTACTGCTCCCCTGTCTCCTAACTAGTTCCTCCTCCCTTTCTGACATCTAAAGTTCAGAAGTTCACAGAGCTCCATTCTCAGGACTCTCAATCTACATTCTCTGTCTAGATTATCTCATTCAATACCACAGAGTTTTAGGTACCACCTACAAATGAAAAAGTGTCAAATTTATATCCCCAATCTAGACTAGTTCTTTGAGCCTGACTCATTTGTCTAATTGCCTACTTAGTATCTTCAATTAGCTCCCAAACTTACCATGTCAAAAACAAAAGTCTTGACAAAAAATTTTCTCTCTGTCTTTCATGGCTCAGTTAATGCCACCAATGTCTACTCAAATATCAAAGCCAGGCCTTTGGGAATCATCCCTGACTACTTTCTTTCCTTAATCTCCCAATACAAATAAGACTTGTTGGTTCTGCTCCAAAATATATACTGCTAACTACTTTTCTCCATCTTCGCCACTACAACCCGCGTTCAAGTCATCATCTTTCCCTTGTACTACTGCATGAGCCTCTACCTTGCTTCCTTCCAATCCATTTTCCACATTAAGTATAATCATTTCATGCCACTTCTCAATTCAAATTCCTACAAAGTCTGCCTATTTTGGACAAAATTCAAACCTTAATCTAGCCTATGAAGTTCAACATGTCCTGGTCCTGCCTGCCCTCTGATTTTATTTCATACCACTCACTCACTATGCGTTAGCCACATTGGTTTTTTTTCAAATACCTAAAACACTGCCAAGCTCTTGCTTATAACAGAACATTTGGGCCTACGAAGCTCTCTCTACCCAGAAAAGGTTTCTGACTCTTCCAATGCTGATTATTTCTCATACTTCAAGATCTTAATTTATATTGTTTGTTTCCATTATAGGGAAAAGAGGTTATTACTATTATTCTCAATCACAGCAGCTTCTTTTTCCTTAAAGTACTGAGCAAGATCTGTAAATATTTATTCACCTTCATACAGTCTCCATCTCTGCTAAAAAACAAAAAAGACTTTCATAGGGCAAAGACATTATCTTATCCTACCCTATAATATACACTTAATAAACATTAAATGATAAAACAAAATAGCAAAAATTGAAAACAATAGTACTGTGTACTGATGCTGATAGTATAAAAATATGTATACTCATATGTACTTAGAGAACTGAGGGGTAATTTAACAGTATACATGAACAATCTATCTTTTTTCTGTTATCTTTTGACTCATAACTCCACTTCTTAAAAGTTATCTGACAGAAATACTCTCACATGTGTATAAAACTATGTATGGATACGTATGTGTGTTTACTGTGACAGCATGGGAAACAGTTATACCACAATATTAAAAAAAGATCTAAAATTCCCACTGATGGGCAGTTAAGTATATTTGGTACTCAGATGATAGAATTCTATACAATTTTAATAATGAGGCCGTTCTTTAAACATTGACTTAGAAAGGGTACCAAATTATTTTTCAGGAAAAGTCTAACTTTTAGAATAAGCGAATTTTTATTTACATATAAAGCACAATACCTGCATTTTAAACAGTGTCAAACAATACAAACCAAACTTAGTACTTGTAATCCATAGAGAAGATCAGTGACATTTGGCATGAGGCAGAAAAAGATGCTTTTTCCTGTATGTATTTTTAATTTATGTATTATTTGTGTAAATTTTTAAGTGGGAAATAAAGCCACTATTCTTAACACTTATCTGCTCTTTACAGATATTAAATTTCCAATTGTTCTAGGACAAGTCAGTTCCTAAAGAATATAAAAAGAAGCAGATGCAGGCAAGAAGGAAAGTCAAAGCAAGTTAATACTGAATTCGTAATGCCTATGATAGCAGTAAGATGCATATACCCTACAGAAAAACACAAAGAACACAAAACAGACAGAAGTCAAGATAATGGAAAGAAATTCTGATACTGGTTTAAAGAAAAATACCTCCCCGCCGTTTTACCAAAACACCTTTGAATCTTTGTTTTGAAACATTGATTATGGTGATGGTAAAGTATATGAAACCACCAAAGTGAAAAATAAAGGTTTAACTAGCTGGATATCATACTTCAGAGTTCCCCAGGGAAATGGCTCTAACTCAAGTACGTTTGTACTGCTAGAACTTAAAGGGCTTTTTTTTATTGTTAACTTAGTGAATATATTTAGAAACAAATTCCATACTGCCAATTTTTATTTTTTAATGCAAATTTTACTTCATTTAAAAATAAAACATAAAGACGACCAAAAAACTTTTAAAAATCGACTTACATCCAAGTCCAAACCAGAGCCTACCCTTCAGTAATTTAGTCTCTTGTATACTAACTTCTAATCAGTAAATAACTAGAGACAAGTCTATCTTTACACCTACTCTCATCTCTATCCCCTCCTGAGGCCACATTAACTTTGGTTGTTAGTATCTCATGTCTTCATAAGAATGACCACAAAAGACCACTCACTCATCATGTCTTGTGACTTAATCTACTTTGTACAAAGCTGCCAAGGAGATCTAAAAGCACCACTCAATCCAATTCTGGCCTCTAGACCTTCTCACAAAATGCCCAAATAAGACAGAAAGCTGGTCAGCAACCTGGGAAGCACTACAATTTCCTCACTCTGAATGCAGGCCTCATGATTAATGTCTGTTTGGAACAAAGAAAAAAATGATTAAGGAGTTGGTAAGACATTTGAGATAATCTGTCCTACTGCTACCAAGTAGCCTCTTAGGACTTGGCTGGCTGGTGGAAACGCAAGCAGGCATGGGTAGTAGAAGGATAAAAGTCTCCTCCCTCTCCTCACTCATGCCACCTCAACATTTCAACTTACGGGAATCTCTCCTACTCAGGTAAGCCACAAGGAAAAAGAAAAAGTGCTCAGCCCTGTGATGAGCCACTCTGATAATGGTTGAATACCTCTTCTACTAGTATCCAAAGCTAAAAACATTGGGAAGAGTAACTTTTTTTCTTTCTTAATTATGTATATAAAGCACTAGAATACATTTTAAACAAATACAATATAATTTGTTTCTTGAACTTCTTGTATGCCTTTATCTATCTCTACATTTTTATAATTTCCAGAGTTTACATAACCCTAAACACTTCTCTGCCAATATGGGTAATGTTAAGTACAAAAGAACCTAAAGGGAAGGCTCTATTAACATTTTTATCCTGAATTGTCTTTGGCATAATTTCTTCTATATAGTTGGTGATAATTAGATATTTACAGGAGCAAGAAGCAGAATGAATTCTATGCAACATACACAGAACTGCTGAAAGACTAAAAACAATTAATTATAGAACTCCTGAAAGTAAAACTAATAATATGATGAGAGTAGCAAACACTTCTCTATCACCTACTATGTGCTTCAGTATTATTATTATCCCCATTTTATAAATGAGAAAATTAAGGCACACAAGACTCAAAGTCCCTTCTCCAAGGTGACACAGAAAGCAAACTGCAGAGCTGGAATAAACCTAGGCAGTGTGGCTCAAAATGTATGCTCTTAACCACTAAGCTATATTGTAAAGGTCCTTGTGAATCACTACAATAGAAGTGCAGTTACTTGTTAAACAGGAACATATTCATGTGCAAAAACTCTGCCTGCACACGAATTTTATATTACTGTAAGAATATAATCTGATCAAAACTTATTTACTACTCTATTTTATAAACAGATGCTTACCTCCAAATTACATCATACACAGGATCAAGACACACACCAAATCCTTGTAGATCCTCTTGTTCTGAGTCATTAAAAGTTTTACAACTCCCATCCACTTTATTTATCAGAAGACATTTAAATGGAGGAGGTTCTGATATAGAAGCAGGTACCAAGCCTTGGAGAAAAAAAATTTTTTTTAATATACATCATCTTTTTATATCCCCTGAAACCCACAAAGTAATTATTAATATCTCTATTTCCCAGATGAAGAGGCTGAAACTTAAGGAAAATATCTAAAAAATCTGTAAGTGGGAGAATCAGGACTAAAACCTCAAGATATCTAAATTCATAACACATCCTTCTAATCTCTATGCTATACCACTGTGTTATAAAATTATCCACGGGTTGATATCTTGGTCTTAATGAAACATCAAAGTTTGATTTATATAGCCTCCCATAAAATTAATTGCTATCATTTATTTAACAAGAAACAATGTAGAAAAATCTCTCACTTCAATACAGGTTTTATCCTACTACTATTTAGCTCATATTTACACTACTGTTTAACTTATAAATACTCTAATCTGGTTTCTACATCTCCTAATTATTCCACTCTTCCAGAATACAGACACATGTAAACACAGATACTAGGAAGCTTCATTTAAGTTTCTTCAAACAGGAGGGGAAAAAAAGCTACTATATCTCTTTACAGGGAAAGATGAACAATTTACTATCAATCAAGACAAGAATTTGGAAGGGGCATTTGTTTATTTTTGATATTACCTATTATATGTTTACTGGCAAAAATTTCTGATGTAGCAAGTACATGAGAATTAATAAGTGCTTCATCAATTCGTAAGAAAGTTTGGTCCCCGCTTGCGCCTATCCAAGTAGCTTTTCTTCCATACTTTGATCCGATGTTAGGCATAGGAGCTGGCTTTGCATTCCAATATGGCACATCCAAAATCGGTCTGCCCAGTTGCCCTTTCTAAAAGATTAAATAGACCCTATTAACAATACTGCTGTATAAACAAATCCATAGTTATAAAGGTAAAAAGACAGTAGTAGATAAAAATAGTTCTGTGAGACTTTATTCTTCAACAATTGTTAGTTTGTTTTTTAAGTAAATAAAATACATGTGAAATTTAGACTGAGCATTTATAAAGTAATAAAATAATTTCTATTATTTCTGGGAAGTCTTTCATTCCAATAAAGCACAAAGTACACTATTTTTAAAAATATTTAAGTAATTCCCATATAAGAAATCTCCCCAAAATACTGTCTTTATCTACAATTCAATGAAAAGTATAATAAATATACAATATGTTAAAAAGTTAGTATTACAAAAAGTGTGTAACAAAAATCACTGTGATGATACCAAAAAAAATCACTATTTAGGCTCTCAAAATCTGAGAATATTTGGGTAAAAGACCAAAATAAAAAATACTGAAGCTGTGAATACAATTTTAAAAATACATAATGTAGCTTTTACATGATATGTTAATGAGTTATTTCATTTATGTTTTAATATAAACAGCACAAGTAAGGTAAGATGCCTAAAGTAAATAACTGCTAGCCACTGAGAAAGTATGGCTGCCTATGAGTACCTGGTTAAGTAAGAGTTTAATTTTTAAAGTACTAGAAAGTTTTTCACTACTAAACTAGTGTCTGAAAAAGAATAAAAGAATGCTGATATTGAATCAGGAGCTCTCTCTCCTGATAGCATTCTGGAACATGGAACCTGGGAGCACTCCAAACACTCTACTCAAGTTTTCATCCAACTACTAGGCTTACTGAGTTCTCCATTCTTTCAACATTACAGAAAGAAAAGACAGTCACAAACTGCAGAAGCAACTAAACTTCAACCTTTGGGCAAAACCAGGGAAAGGGAACCTGGCAAACACATGATACATAAGTAGCCAAAACATTCAATATTTATTCTCACCCTCTTTTCAATGCCTAGAATTATGTTTTGACAAGTTTAAAAAAAAAACAAAAAAGAGCATAAACAGTGAACAAAGCACATCATATTCAGTGATATGTTCTACTTTTGGAGGAAATAGAAATTAGTTATATTTTGCATTGAGTTTTGAAATCAATATGTATTCCTTTACTACCAACCAATTAATGTGAAGAAAAGCAGTGCAAAAATATGATACATACCTGGACAGCCCAGCAGGGTCTCAGATTGTGGTCATAAATAAGTCACATGTAAATTACCAAAAGTTCAAAACTAAGACTTCTGGGGCTGGAGGACAATAATGATTGTCTGCTATCAAATCTTTCTACTCACATAACCCGCTCAAAAGACACAAAACCAACATGCAGAGCAAATAAATTTACAACTGACTCAAACCCTCAGCAGTATTAGAGACAACAAAAATCATGATCTCTCTTAAATGTAAACAGAAGAGGAAACCAAATTCTAAGAGTCCTCTCTACATACCTGCCACTGACCTCAGGGTGTGGAGAGCATGGAAGAGGAAGCCCTTAAGATGGTGAACAGAGGAGTGTGGAGGACTTAGAAAAAACAAAGGTCAAAGTATCTCTCAAAAGAGAAAGTCCAACCCTTAACACCAAAATACTAAATATGGGCCAGGACATGAAGGTTCACAGCACCAGCTACAGGAAAGAGATGTGAAAGTAAGGATCATTTCTTACCCATCAGACTGGCACAAATTAAAAGGTATGACAACGTACTCTGTTGGCAAATCTGTGGAGAAAGAGGAGTCTCACACACTGATGGTGTGAATGCACAATAGAGAGGAAATTTCTAACATCTCAGGAAACTACATTGGCATTAACCTTCAACCCATCAACATTACATCTCAGAATTTATCTCAAAGACACACCTCTAATAATATTCATTACTATCTTGCTAAATATTGGAAAGTACTTTAACATTCAAGCATAAAAAGCTGAGTGAATAAACTACAGTATATATACAGAATGGAGTACTAGTTCTTCAAAAAAAATGAAGAGCTCTGTGAACTGATATGAAATAATTTCTAAGAGATATACTAAAGTGAAAAGAGCAAAGTGCAAAAGAGCATATACAGAATATTAACTTCTAAAAAACAAAGAGGAATCATATATACGTATATATGTGCATCTGTGTGTGTGTGTATATATATATATACACACACACACATATAAAAACGTGTCACTTAAAAACGGGGATATGTTCTGAGAAATATGTCATTAGGCGATTCTGTCACTGTGTGAATATTGACATGTACTAAAAAAACAGCTTACTACACACCTAGGCTACATAGTGCAACCTATTGCTCCTATGTTACAAACCTGTATAGTATGTTACTGCACTGAATAATGTAGGCAATTATAATACAATGTAACTATGTGTATATCTAAACATATCTAAATATAGAAAAGGTATAGTAAAAATACTTATAGGATCACCATCATATAGCCGTTGACCACAACACCATTATATAACATATGACTGTATACGTTTACACACACACAATCAGTTACTACTGAATTATAAAAGCGTACATTATTCAATTGCCTATATATACATATCTCGTGTGTGTGTATGTGTGTTTGTGTGTGTTTACTTATTTATACTCACAAGAAGGAAAAACAGGAAGAAAATATTTCATTACCTATAAGTATAGACTGACGTGGGTGCAGAAGCAGGGATGCTAAGGATATGTGAGGAAGTAATATCTATCTGAGTATACAATTTTTGTATAACAACTTTTAGAAACTTGTTAATGTTCCATATATTCAAAAATAAAACGTAATCAAAGGATGTGGGGAGAAGAGACTTAAACTGAAAACAAACTGAAACAAATGAGCCCCACTCTACTCCAAAGGAAACCCACTGAAAGGGCATAAGAGAAAGAATCCAGGTGACTTGTGTGCAGTGCTTGTACAGTATACTTTCTGTCTCAGGGTAGGGGACAGGTGAGAGGTTGGCAGGAGCAAGAGTGACAGAGATCTTGAACTGCCTTTAATGAATCTGCTTTTTTTGAACTGGTATGGGCAAAACAAATATAAAATTATTTAGACACATTTTTGGACTGAGTGAAAAATAAATGTGTATACACATCAAATAAATGTGTATATTGTTGAGAGCAAGAATTCTTGGTGCAGAAAAGGGACATAAATATGGAATAGGACAAGGAAAGAAACAGTCCTGTGGGAATGGATTGGAATTAGAGGTAAGACTGAGTTTATGATTTCTAAAATACATTTAGTATGTTTACATGCACATATCTGTGTACTGGGCATGCAAAGACACCCTACAGCAATGAACACATCTAGTGCCTAGCTGGAGTCTAACACTATTCCACCCCCAAAACAATCAGGGTTCCTGAAGAACCGGGTGATTCCAGGATTGATACAGGACCTGGATAAGACAAACCCCAAATAATTTGTTATGCCAAAAAGAAAAAAAAGAGCTCAAAATGATGAAAGGGCATGTCACAAGAATACAGGAGCCAGCTTGAAGGGGCTCCTATTAGCCAAATCTGAGACAATCTAAGCAACCAAATAATTAAAGATAATAATGAAGAAAATACAAATACCACCAATAATAACTAGACAGACAAACAAAGGAGGGCTCTTACTTATAGAAAAATGCAAAGTGCCTACTGGTAATCGAGGAGGTACTATTGGAGATGGAAAATCATTTTGCAAACATTATAGCAAAGATTAGTTCAGACAAAAATAAACAACAGATGCTAAATCTGGGGAAAATTTTTTATGAGAAGCAAGTATCTAAAATGTGTAAGTGTCAAGCTACAGACTGCCTGTTAGCAAAGAAGAAATAGTAGAGAACTCAGACGACATTTGACCAAATGAAATTTACATCATAAATGAGTAGCAAATGGACATTCAGTGCCTCCAGATAGGATGCTGAGACAAACCAATCACTTACAGAGTATCTTGGCCTGGATGCAAAATCTGAATCTAAACGTGAGGAAATACCAGAGAAACAAAAATGAGGAACTATCTATATTTTTTAAAAAGTCATGATCTTCAAAAATGTTAATGTCAGACAATAAAAAGCTGTGTAAGTGTTACAAATGAAAGGAGACGAAAGAAACATGACAAGTATATGCAATGTCTGATCCTAGAATGAAGGAGGAAAAAAATGCCAAAAAATACTTATTGGGTCAATTCACAAAATACAAACAAAAGAATTTAGGAGTAAAAGGCTGTGCTTGCTTTGGCAGCACATATCCTAAAATTGGAACAATACAGAGAAGATTAGCATGGCCCCTGCACAAGGAGAGCATGCAAATTTGTGAAGCATTCCATATTTTTAAGCAGACACTGAACATTTACCATAATACTATAAGAATGGTACTGGCAGTAGAAGGATACTGCCGAGAAGGAAGGGGACAGATACAACATCAATAAGGGTACCTAATCTTAAACCAGGCAAATTGGGGGCCAAAGGGAGGCCCAAACTTTACCTGTACGATGACCATGTGTATACGTAATCCTGAATTGTACCTCACATCAATAATATAAAAATAAACAAATTTTTTAAAAAGGAGTAAAAAGCCTTAATGTACTTAAGTTATTCTTAAAGGACTCTGGAAAATAAATGTTTTACATATACATATGCATGCATGCATACACACACAAAGGGAGAGAGTGTACATGCATGCAAATGATAAAGCAAACACTAGTTCAAAATGTTAACAATATGAGAATTCGGTTGAAGATTATATGCACATTCTATGTATTATTTTTATTTTTGCAACCTCTCTGTAAGTTTAGAATCATTTCCAAATGAAAGATCGTTTTAAAGTTCACATTTACATTTTTTAAAAATCAAGAGTTGTTAGTTCCAGCTACTTGGAAGGCTGAGACGGAAGGATCGCCTGAGCCTAGCAGGTTGAGGTTGAGGTGGCTGGGAGCATGCTATTGCACTCCAGCCTGGGTGACAGAGTGAGACTCCAACTCAAAAAATAAAAATAAAAATCAAGAGTTGTAAACTACATCCTAGAGACTTGGACTCTGGAGTTCTGAAATAATTGTACATGTCAGACATGATACATGTTTATTATCACAGTCTCATGAAGACTTTCCTCGATATCTACTATGCGAAACTATACAAAATTCTATTCTTAGAGCATTTTTCACTCTTTCAAGGTTTTGTTGTTGCTGTTTTTTCCCAAGTGGCAGGGGGAGAGGGGAACGAGTGAGTATACAAAGACAAGCAAACAGAGACACAGAGAGTGGGTAAAGGAAAGAGGAAAGTACAAGTTTAAACAAATCTAATTTTAAAAACTAGACTTTTTAAAAGTTCTCAAATATAAATAGTTCTATATGTTAAGAAAAATAAATCTTTACAAGTTAAAGGAAATGTAACTTTTTTCAAATGCCAGAATTAGCTCTATTGAATGCTTAAAGGGCTTTGATCTGGAACAAACATGTCCAATTCTAACACAGCTATTAAACTCAATAAATTCTAGTGCTGAGCTAAAGAATAAAATTATTTCAAATAAAATTATTTCAGGTTTTGTGCATCTTGGTGGCAAAGGCAGGAAGTATGTATATGCATTGATTTTAATATAAGAATCCACTAGAACCAAAAAAAAAAAAAGGTAAGACAGACAAATATAAAGCAATGGTATAATGCAATATTATTAATGTTTTAAAAATTCCTTACAGAAAAACTTCCAAATGTGAAGACCTGTCCATCCATTAAAAGTACTGCCGTGTGGTTGCTGCCTGCAGTGACCTGTGTGCTAGGGCCTGGCAAAGCTTGAACAAGAGTGGGACATCCCCTAGGTTAAAAAAAAAAAAATTAAGTCAATTTCTTACAAGACTCAAATGAAATAAAAAAGCAATAAATAAATACTGCAATAAAGAGTAGAAAAGATAAAACACACTAGTAAGAATATTTGACAAACACTCATATAGTTATGAGTGCTAAGTAAGTGTCTGTCTCTATTCTAGGTCCTAGATAAACAAAGATGAAAAAGTCAATGACTTTAAGAAGATCATTAAAAAAATTTTCTAAATTTAATACCCTAATCATGGACACATAATTTTTCATTTTTCTGAAATACTGACACTATCTTTTTAAAAAATCTATTACCTTATACACTCCAATAGCATGTTAGAGATCTCTATAAATATTTGTTGGATGAAATAAAAATCATGCAATGCCATAACAGAAATTAAACACAGGAACTAAATGAAATAATTAATTTTATAATCCTGTTTTCCAACTTTTGTCACTCAGCCATAAGTCTGGATCTTAAAATCATAGTTAGTGAGTCAGAATTTAGTATCATGAGAGGCATTACAGCAGTGGCTACAAATTCAGGCTCTTAAGCTAGACTGACTGGATGTGAACCCTGGCTCCCTCACCTTAGTAACTTAGCTATGTGACCATGACTTTGAATGAGTTTTTCACCCTTTTTGTATTTCAGCTTTCTATTCTATAACATGGAGAATAACAAATGATCTACCTCATAGTTCTGTGAACAATAAAGTTCAAACATGCCAGAGTTTGGATCATTGTATGGCACACAGTTAACAGCGTTAAATGACATCCTAGCATCCTTTTTTACTTTTATTAACCATTTATAGTAACTACTGACTGTAATTAGGATAATAACCATTATAGAAACAGTCCACACATAACAAGAACTCTGCTTTTATGACACTTTAAATTTTTAACATTAAACGAAATAAATTTTTTAATGATTATTCAGATTACAATGAAAAATGAATTGAAAAGGGGCAAAGATGAGTTCATTAAGAAACTGAGGTTTTGTTTCTGGAATCTCTATCCCGTTTCATTGATTTATATGCCTGTCCTTGTACCAGTATTAGGCTATTTTGGTTATTGTAACCTTATAATAAAATTTAATGTCTGAAAGTGTGATATCTCCTGCTTTGTTTCTTTTGTTGAGGATCAAACATTTGGCTATTAGTGGATGTTTTTGTTTCCATATGAATTTCTGTATTGTCGTTTCCAGATCTAAGAAAAATGATGTTGGTAATTTAATGGATATTGTATTGAATCTGCAGATTGCCTTGGGTAGGATGGACATATTAATAATGTTGATTCTTCCAATCCATAAGCATGGAATATGTTTCCATTTGTTTGTGTCTTCTTTGATTTCTTTGAGCAGTGTTTTGTAGTTTTCATTGCAAAAGTCTTCCACTCCTCTGGTTAGGAAGATGCCAAGGTATTTCATTTTCTTTGTGGCTATAGTGAATGGGGTTGTGTTTTTTATTTGTTATCTGTTATTATTGTATAAAATTGCAACTGTCTCTTGCATGTTAATTTTGTACCATGAGACTTTGGGAGAGGAGAACCTATTCAGTAAATGATTCTGGGAAGACTGGCTGACCACATGTAGAAGAATGAAACAGGACCCCTACAACACACAAAAATGAACTCCAAATGGATCAACATATTGCTAAACAGACAGAAATTGGAAGCTTTTCTCCTGAAAACCAGAACAAGACAATGCTGCCCACTCTTATCCCTCCTATTCAACATAGTGTTGGATGTACTCACTAGAGCAATCAGACAAGAGAGGGAAATCAGAGGTATCCAAATAGGATAAGAGGAAGTTAAGTTACCCTCTTTGCTGTTGATATGATTCTAGGCCTTGAAAATCCAAGAAAATCTATCAAAATCCTGCTTGCACTGATAAAGAACTTTGGCAAAGTCTCAGGGCACAAAATAAATGTGCAAAAGACAATTGTATACTATACACCAACAACAAACAGGAAGAGAACCAAATTAAAAGCACAATCCCTTTCACAATAGCCACAAAAAAAATGCAACGCCTTGGCATCATCCTAACCAGAGAAGTGAAAGACTTTTATAATGAAAACTACAAAACACTGCTGAAAGAAATCCAAGAAGACACAAACAAATGGAAAAATATTCCATGCTTATGGATAGGAAGAATCAACATTGTTAAGACGTCCATCCTACCAAAGGCAATCGACAGATTCAACGCAATACCCATTAAGTTACCAACATCATTCTTCTCAGACCCGGAAATGACAATACAGAAATTCATATAGGAACATAAACAACCACGAACAGCCAAAACAATCCTTAGTAAGAGAAACAAAGCAGAAGGTATCATACTTCCAGACTTCAAACTCTTCTATAAGACTACAGTAATCAAAACAGCCTGGTATTGGTACAAAAACAGGCGCATAGACCAATGGAAAAGGATAGAGATTGCAAAAGCAAAGTCTCAATTCCTCAACCAACTCATCTTTGACAAAGCCTCCAACAACTAGTGGGAGAGGAAAACCTATTTAGTAAATGCTGCTGGCAAAACTGGCTGATCACATGCAGAAGATTGTAACAAGACCCCTACCTATCACCATACACAAAAATAAACTCTAAATGGATCAAAGATCTAAACATAAAACCTCAAACTATAAGAATCTTAGAGAACGCAGGAGATACTCTTATGGAAGGTGGAACTGGGAACCAATTCCTATTCAGAACCCTAAAGGCCCATACCTTAAGAAATAAGATAGACAAGTGGGACCTCATCAAACTAACGAGCTTCTGCAAACCAAAAGAAACCATCAAGAGAGCAGGGAGACAGCCCACAGAATGGGAAAAAATATTTGCCAACTGTGCATCTGACAAAGGTCTAACATCTAGGATCTACAATGAACTCAAACGTGCCGAAGGGAAAAAAACAAACAGTCCCTTTAAAAAGTGGGCAAAAGACATGAATAGACACTTCTCAAAAGAAGATATACAGGCAGCCAACAGACACATGAAAAAGTGCTCAGTCTCACTCATCATCAGAGAAATGCAAATCAAAACCACATTGAGATACCACCTAACCCCTGTAAGAATGGCCATCATTAATAAAGCAAACAATAACAGATGCTGACAAGGACGTGGAGAAAAGGGAACGCTTCTACACTGCTGGTGGGAATGCAAACTTGTACAACCTCTCTGAAAAACAGTGTGGCGATTTCTGAATATACCTGGAGGAACTCAAATTATTCTACAAAGAAGATACCTGCACACATATGTTTGTTGCAGCTCTATTCACAATAGCAAAAAACATGGAACCAACCATACTGCCCATCGAAGTTGGACTGGATTTTAAAAATGTGGTGCATATACACAAGGGAATATTATGCAGCCATAAAGAAGAACAAATATATGGACTTTGCAGCAACCTAGATGGATTTGGAGTCGATCATATTCAGTGACTTATCACCGAAACAAACAACAGAGTTCCATATGTTCTCAGTCATAAGAGGACCTTGAACAATTATAATGCTGTAAGAAAGCAATTGGCATTAATGGGAAACTGTCGGTGGGGGTGGGGTGGGATTGGCAGTTGAGGGAAACTGCTAGGGGAAGGAGAGGCATACCTCATCAACCGGGGTCAATGTTTGCATGATCAATGTTTGTATACCTAACCCTGAATTGTACCCCACGTCTTTACAATAAAAAAAAAAATTTAAATAAAAGATACAGAATTGACTAGATTTGGCAGATGATTGATATGGGGCAAGGAAGATTATTTGTGTAAACAACAAGGTTGTGCTAATATTCGCTTACACTATAAGAAAATGAGATCTAGGAAGATTCGAGAGAAAAGAAGAAATCCTAGTTTTCCACAAGAGTTTCTTCTAACAGTTTAGATATTGACAAAGGAAGAAGTGCTTACAGACACTTAGGGTATACCAAAGAGGAAGAAAGACCTCCAGGAAAATGTAGTATGGGGAGAGTCATTGGAAGAGAAGGTTTCAAGAGGGGAAAATAAGGTACAGGCCAATTGCTCTCAAGAGACACACAAGTCACCAGTCAATTTAGCAGAATAAAGTTTCTCTGGTGGACTTAGGTACTATGCTGTAGCAGATAAGGAGTTAACACTGTGGTCAGAGAATACACAAAATCTCTTCAAGTACCCCAGCACTAAAGGGAAAAAGAAAGGAAAAAAAAAACAGCTAAAGGGAAAATTAAGCTGAAGGAGTGCCTTTGTTCTTTTTAAAACCAAAGAGATTTGAAGACACTTAAAAGGTGGATAAAGAGAAAGAGGCTAAAGATAATGGTCAAAGAGAAGACAGAAATAGATCCCTAAGGAAAAGGTAGATAGGTTTTATAGCATGGACAAGACAGGTCCCTCTTTCACCCTAACATGAGGAAGGAAGCAGAGAAGTGGCATGGGTGCAAGTGGGTTTGCAGGGTTGGCAAGCTGAATAATTTTCCCTTATTTTTGTTGTGAAGTAAATAAAGGTCCTATGCAAAGAAAAAGAAGGGAATGGGTGAGCAGAGAGTTTTAAAATAAGAGAAAAGGTATGGTGATAGAGGGAACAGATAAATACCTAGATCAGGAGTTTTCAGCCTAGACCTAAAAGACTTCCAGGAAGTCCACTAGTGACCTTCAGGAGATCTGAGAACCACCTAAATTTGTAAGCAAACTTTTACGTGTATACTCTTTTATTTTTATGGAGAGAGAGTCCATACCTTTGATCAAATTCTCAATAGGTCTTAAAACAAATAGTCAAAACAATACAACAGGAGGATTACTGCCACTGCAGAGGGATTAACTGAATCTGGAAATTATGTATCAATCGGCACAGGTATGGTGATTTAGTTCTTTCCAGAAGCCTAAACCTAGGCATAGATAATATAGACAGACTGATTGATGCTTGATGTTTTGCCATGTCCTAGTATCAAGACCAAGAGAATGAGAAAATTGAGGACACTGGTAAGAATATAAGCGCAGAAATTAAAAAAACAATAT